GCAACAGAGTTCAGGTCCAGGAAAGGGAACTCCATCTTGAGCAAGTCAACCTTTGATCCCCTGAAAGACTCTTCTGTCTGTCTGCCCCCCTTCCCTTCTCTAACACCAATTTAACATCTGATAGGCAGGATTGTGTTATACATCTATAGCAAATTCTGCCACCCACGTCTGAGTGATACTGGTATCAGAGTGAGGCCCACAATAGCTTTCAACTGCTATGCCCTGCAGTCCCATCTACTGGCCATCCTTCCAGTCAGCTTGCTCCAACCTATACACCCAGTATGAACACAACTCCCCACGTCCCAGTGCAGTCAATCTGCCTGTTCCCATGAAAGAAGAAAGACTACTTCAACCATGGCAGGCCATAAGCAAGCAGGGCCTTGGTCGGCAATGCCGTTGGGCATTCCTTCTTTTCACCCCAATGTCCTCACCTAGACAAGACTCTCATTGTTGTCCCTAAGGACTAGACAGCCATCTCCCAGCTAATCTCCTAGACTGACAGGACTTGAGCCACTTTCACTAGGCACTGCGTTAGCCTGCACATCTCCTAGATAGTTGATGCATAAGAACAAATAAGGGAAACTCTAACACAGACCCAGAAAGCTTTTAGTTCATTAAAGGATAAAAACACACACATAGTCTAGTAAATGCATGGGCAATACACTTCAAAGGTGACTTCTAAAAATATGAAAGATGTCAAAGGGTAGATAGAAAGGCAAAAAGAGAGACAGGGGAGACAGGGGAGACAGGGGCAAGGGGGAGGAGACCAGAAGCTCACATGAGAGCGTTGAAGTTTGAGGAGACCCATCTGGGTGAAAATGTCGATGAGATCCCTGGAGGATGCTTGTGGGGCTTCTGAGAGACCTAGTGATACAATCTTGGGGGCTGGATTATTCTAGGAGGTCATAGTTAAGTGTCTTGAAGTTCATACATATTAAAGCACTGTGCAGCATATGTGAGGAAGCCTAAACAGAAGTCTTTCATAAGCCAAAGAGGAACAGAGGGCAGAGTCAACTTTTCCGAAGGGAACAAAGATCAATAAAGAAGAACAAGCAGGTACATTGATTCCAGAAGGCAGAATAAGAGACCATGAACAGAGCCTTCAAACCACATATCCAAGAGTTTAGACACACATGGCTGTTCAAGAATCAAGCCATGCACCTAAGGGAGTAAAAGTATAATAATAACCTAGGGAACACTTTTCAGCCAGGCTGGCAAGAAGAGAGAATGTACAAGATACACACATGCAGGGTTTATTGCTCAAGAGCTCACCTGAGTGGAAAGTCATTTACTGTGTGATTTGATCTGTTGTGAAAGGCGGAGGTTGCTGCCAATTGCTCTTGTTGTCTCTGCTCTTGGCTAATAACAGATATCTAAGGAGTAGGGTACCAGAAGGAGCTCTCGAAATTGCCTTGGCAAACAAAAGCAAAGGTCCAAAATGTCATAAGAGCTCAGCCTCGGGGAGGAATGAGCAAATGTGCCAGCAGGAGAGACCATGGGGGAAGTCTCGGAGTTCCTCTGTTCACAGGCACCGTGGGAGAAGCCTCTGGCATCCGTCTCTATCAGCTCCCCCTCCAATTTGCCACTTTGCCTGGAAGCATTGATTTATTCTTGGCCTTTGTCTCTGAAATATGTTCCCAGTTCTGGGCCAGGCGGACAAATGTGTGTGCCTCACACCAGTGTATAATAGCAGGAAGGCACAATTCCTGTGCACAATTTCACCTCTGGGTTTGGCTAAGAAGTAAAGGGTTGGATGAGCAATGATCTTACGGAAGGTGTCTGATACACAGTAATATTTGAATACAACCTGTCTGTCAGGAGCAACTTCATCCCAGAACTTACTACTTTGCCAAACCCAAAGAGAACTAAAAAAAACCTGCTGTTCACCAAGGGAGGAATCTCAGACTCTCAAGAAGAATTGTCCACAGCTCCAGATACAACAGCGTGGATGCGGCTAATATAACATGGTTAGCACAAAAAATCCTACATTGGGTGTTTTTTGTTTGTTTATTTGTTTTGGTTAGCATGATTAAAGAAAGCAATTAAGGAAGACATCTGTATAAAACTCTGGCCTCACACACATGCTGTCATCCACATATGTGTTCCCTCACAAATACAAACAAACAAAACATCCAACCCTTTACAATGTACTGCTAGATGTCAGTCCCTCTGATGGACATCACCACGCATTTAGACACAGCATTCATACTTGGATCAGAAGTGTCTATCAGACCCCTTGTGTTCGCTAGGCTGCTGCAGGCAGGTGGTTAAGCTTTAGAAGGTGATTAGTGAGGGATGTAAGGTCATTGGAGGATGCCGTCCATGGGTCCTCTAGCCGTAGTCCCTCCTCACTCTCTATTTCCTGGCTCCAGCATGCTCTCCACCACGGCATGCTGCCTACCCAGTCCACCACGAGACAAGGTCAAGCAGCCATGGACTAAAGCCTCTGAAACTCTGAATCAAAACAAAACCTTCCCTCCTTTCAAAGTCCATCTGCTCAGGTATTTCCAAGGTCACAGCCACGAAAAAGCTAAGTTCTCTCAGTTCGGTTCCACTGCTCACGGGGTGACAAAGTGCATGATGGAATGATTCAAGCACACATTCAAGTTTTGGAGTGGCTCAACCATGCAATGAGGTGGGTGGGCGAGAACATAGGCAGAAGGGATCTTTGTTTCGGCATGACTTCATTAGGGAACAATGGCGTGTGGAGGATGCAAAGTCGTGATGGTGGGATGTCACCTGTGCCTCCTGCATGTTTATTCTGCACTTCAGTGCAACGGTAACTCTTCTGCCGTGAAGCAAGCGCAGGAGGGGAAGTTACTGTCTTAAAGCTATTTTTCAGAGTTGCAAGGAACGGAAGAGCAGAACTTGGCCTAAAGTCTGACTAATGTGCCTTAAACACAAACAAACAAACAACATAGTATCCACCCTGAGCTCAGCAGATGTCCCTTCTCAATCCCTGTAACATAGTATCCACCCTGAGCTCAGCAGAGGTCCCTTCTCAATCCCTGCAGGGTGGTTCCAGTAGTGTCTCTTACTCAAGGAAGGACTGGTCATTTTGTTCTAGCAGAGCCTTCAGCTGATTGGATAAGGCTCACCCATCCTATGGAAAGCTGTCTGCTTCCCTAGGTCTAGCCAATTCACATGTTGACATCATGCAAAATCACTCAGAGCTTTTAACCAAATGTCTGAGCAGCTGTAACCACCAGAACTGCACATAATAGATGGGTGAGGAGGCGAGACCATCAGCTCCAGGAGCGGCGGGAATCGGTGGCGATGTGCCTGACCCTGTGAGGATGGAGCCATATAACCCTCCCATCCACTTCCAAACTCCTGCTGCTCCCACGGAATTTCCACAAGTTATATTCAAGGTCACAACACAGTCAGCAACATAAAGCTGCATGCTTCCAGGCACCTAATCACATGCCTGCAATTAAAAACATAAACACTGCCGAAGCTGGGGCTAGCAGGGCAGCCAAAGCTACCTACTGCTGGAGAGGCTGAAAAGTGAAACTTCATCCTTGGAAAAACAAGCCTGCCAGTTGCTTGTGGGGTCCTCACTCACCCCAGCAACCCCACTCCTAAGTGCTGACCCAGGAAATGTGGAGAACTGTGTTTGTGTCAGTCTGTGAGGGCTGGAGACAGTGTAGCTCCTGGCTGTGAAGGACTAGAGACAGCCCATGTGCCCACTGGGTGGTGGAAGCAGAAACAAGCACTCCACCCCGGTGATGGAGGGCTACTAGGCAGTTTAAAAGGAAGAGTGTGTGTAAGTGTGCAAGTCTTACACTGAGTGAGGGGCACTGGTTTCAGAGTTCACACTTGTGTCAATTCCACTGGCATAGCATCTGGGGTTAGGACGCGGAGATGGGGCTGATTACAAAACAGCCTGAGGGATGCTGGAGCACCTAGGAGTATGGGGAGAGACCGAGGGGACTATAGGGAGCCGACCTTCCTCTAGCATCATTTACTACAGAACAAGAAGTTTAGAAAATCAAAAGATTAAAAGAAGCTGCATGGGGCCAGTTTATGTACAAAGGAAGGGAGCTGTTGAACAGTGAGTGGACACATCAGGACTCAGGAACCTCCCAGGGAATGGATAGGACTTGTCACCACAGGGGACCACACAGCATCAGCTCTCAGGCCTTAGCACCAAACAGAGTGGACACATCAGGACTCAGGAACCTCCCAGGGAATAAATAGGACTTGTCACCACAGGGGACCACCCAGCATCAGCTCTCAGGCCTTAGCATTACACATCCCTCTTCCCTCAGGTGGACATCCACATGCCATAGAGAGACTCTCTGAGAATTCTGAGTGGCTTCTTCCTCTCTCCTGCCAGAAGGGGCTGCTGGACTTGGTCACAGTGGGTCCCCATACAGCACATGCAGGCAGGAATCCAGGGAGAGGAGGGACAGGAGGTGGAAACCAGAAACAGTTCAGAACAATGCTTGTCAATCAGCTGCCCACCATGACACTGGATGGGCACACGCTTAGAGAGTCCTGTAATCACCGCCCGGAGCTCAGCTTCAACTTCACCCGTTCCTGGAATTAGCGCTGACAGTCCCACAGCTAAAAGCAGGGTGTGCTTTAAAGATTAAGAGGAAAGAGAAAGGAGAATGGAGGGAGAAAGGCAGAAAAACAGGGCAGAGAGTCGGGGGAAAACATGCATGAAGGTTATGGAGAACCCCTTCAAGAAATCTGCTTATGGTAAACATAGATGAACCTCAGAAAGGAGAACCCCTACATAATGTACTTACAGCAAACAGAGTTAAACTTTAGAAAAGAGATGAGTCCCAAGATCTGGGTACTCTCTTGCAAATCGCGTGTCACTTTGTTAATGGAAATGATTCTCGTAAAATATTCCAGGTGACTCTATGTCACTAAGTCTCGGGCAGGCGGCTCAGGACTGCTCTCAACAATGGTCCAGTTGGGCTAACTATGGCCTATGCAGACCCATGTCCCTCCCCACAATCTCTTCCACACACCACAGAGACACTCACAGCTCCAGGATCAGAATGACATCGGTCTTGTTCTCATAGACCTCATGCAGGGTGATGACGTTCGGGTGGCGGATCTCCTTCAGGATGCTGACTTCCCGTTCGATGTCCTCACGACTCACACCCCGTCGGCTGGACTTGGTCCTCCTTTTCTTGATGAACTTGGCCGCATACTGAAGACCAGTGCTTTTCTCACGGCATTTCTTCACCACCGCGAACTGTCCGCTGGCAGAGAAAGATGGGATAGTGTTTAGGTCTCTCACTAGAGACAGAATCTGAGCAAGGACGTAGCATGGGAGTGGGTATATGGCAAAACCGTGACTAGGGAAGGTCAAAAGGTTGACAGTTAACAAAGGGGGCAGGCATGCTTCTTATTGTGCGTGGTGCAGCTTGACTGGGCCCATTCCTTCTGAATAACGTCATAAGGAGTAAAACATAGTTGATTGAACAGGTAGCCAGTCTGTCTGAATAACGTCATAAGGAGTAAAACATAGTTGATTGAACAGGTAGCCAGTCTGTCTGAATAACGTCATAAGGAGTAAAACATAGTTGATTGAACAGGTAGCCAGTCTGTCTGAATAACGTCATAAGGAGTAAAACATAGTTGATTGAACAGGTAGCCAGTCTGTCTGAATAACGTCATAAGGAGTAAAACATATTTGATTGAACAGGTAGCCAGTCTGTCTGAATAACGTCATAAGGAGTAAAACATAGTTGATTGAACAGGTAGCCAGTCTGTCTGAATAACGTCATAAGGAGTAAAACATAGTTGATTGAACAGGTAGCCAGTCTGTCTGAATAACGTCATAAGGAGTAAAACATAGTTGATTGAACAGGTAGCCAGTCTGTCTGAATAACGTCATAAGGAGTAAAACATAGTTGATTGAACAGGTAGCCAGTCTGTCTGAATAACGTCATAAGGAGTAAAACATAGTTGATTGAACAGGTAGCCAGTCTGTCTGAATAACGTCATAAGGAGTAAAACATAGTTGATTGAACAGGTAGCCAGTCTGTCTGAATAACGTCATAAGGAGTAAAACATAGTTGATTGAACAGGTAGCCAGTCTGTCTGAATAACGTCATAAGGAGTAAAACATAGTTGATTGAACAGGTAGCCAGTCTGTCTGAATAACGTCATAAGGAGTAAAACATAGTTGATTGAACAGGTAGCCAGTCTGTCTGAATAACGTCATAAGGAGTAAAACATAGTTGATTGAACAGGTAGCCAGTCTGTCTGAATAACGTCATAAGGAGTAAAACATAGTTGATTGAACAGGTAGCCAGTCTGTCTGAATAACGTCATAAGGAGTAAAACATAGTTGATTGAACAGGTAGCCAGTCTGTCTGAATAACGTCATAAGGAGTAAAACATAGTTGATTGAACAGGTAGCCAGTCTGTCTGAATAACGTCATAAGGAGTAAAACATAGTTGATTGAACAGGTAGCCAGTCTGTCTGAATAACGTCATAAGGAGTAAAACATAGTTGATTGAACAGGTAGCCAGTCTGTCTGAATAACGTCATAAGGAGTAAAACATATTTGATTGAACAGGTAGCCAGTCTGTCTGAATAACGTCATAAGGAGTAAAACATAGTTGATTGAACAGGTAGCCAGTCTGTCTGAATAACGTCATAAGGAGTAAAACATAGTTGATTGAACAGGTAGCCAGTCTGTCTGAATAACGTCATAAGGAGTAAAACATAGTTGATTGAACAGGTAGCCAGTCTGTCTGAATAACGTCATAAGGAGTAAAACATAGTTGATTGAACAGGTAGCCAGTCTGTCTGAATAACGTCATAAGGAGTAAAACATAGTTGATTGAACAGGTAGCCAGTCTGTCTGAATAACGTCATAAGGAGTAAAACATAGTTGATTGAACAGGTAGCCAGTCTGTCTGAATAACGTCATAAGGAGTAAAACATAGTTGATTGAACAGGTAGCCAGTCTGTCTGAATAACGTCATAAGGAGTAAAACATAGTTGATTGAACAGGTAGCCAGTCTGTCTGAATAACGTCATAAGGAGTAAAACATAGTTGATTGAACAGGTAGCCAGTCTGTCTGAATAACGTCATAAGGAGTAAAACATATTTGATTGAACAGGTAGCCAGTCTGTCTGAATAACGTCATAAGGAGTAAAACATAGTTGATTGAACAGGTAGCCAGTCTGTCTGAATAACGTCATAAGGAGTAAAACATAGTTGATTGAACAGGTAGCCAGTCTGTCTGAATAACGTCATAAGGAGTAAAACATAGTTGATTGAACAGGTAGCCAGTCTGTCTGAATAACGTCATAAGGAGTAAAACATAGTTGATTGAACAGGTAGCCAGTCTGTCTGAATAACGTCATAAGGAGTAAAACATAGTTGATTGAACAGGTAGCCAGTCTGTCTGAATAACATCATAAGGAGTAAAACATAGTTGATTGAACAGGTAGCCAGTCTGTCTGAATAACGTCATAAGTAATAAAACATATTTGATTGAACAGGTAGCCAGTCTGTCTGAATAACATCATAAGGAGTAAAACATATTTGATTGAACAGGTAGCCAGTCTGTCTGAATAACGTCATAAGGAGTAAAACATATTTGATTGAACAGGTAGCCAGTCTGTCTGAATAACGTCATAAGTAATAAAACATATTTGATTGAACAGGTAGCCAGTCTGTCTACACTCTTTTCCTCCCATTTCACGCACTCACATCTGACCTGTTTCAACAACTCTTCTTCAGCATGTCTAGACACATAACAAGGAAGGGGGGAGGGATGGAGAGCAGGATCTCAGCACAGAACAGTCAAGGCTCTGTCTTCAGAGATATATTTCTAGCATCAATATTAAACACCACAACACCTAAAGAAACAAGACCCACACGAGGGTTTTCTGTGGTTCTGGGCTGCTGACTCCACCCCCAAATACTCCACTCCCAAATACGATCTAGGCCGAGCCAACCAATGCAGTGCATTCTTCTGGCTCCAGTGATAGACTTGCTATGACCTTCCAGACAATGGGGAGATGGTCTTTATGAGACTCTTTTTATGAACACTGAACTATATATAACCCCAGAGTGACTGCCAGCTATGTGGGAGCATTAGGAGAACAGCTTAGGGTTTAGGGGCAACCTCTGCAGTGGGGTGCCTGTGGAGGGAAAGGAACCAGGTCTGTGGGAACACTACCAAGTGGTGAATTAAGTCCAGCCTAAAACTACGTCGCTGACTTTTCAGCTACTGAAGCCTTTTACTAAAGGCAGTTTGATCTGAGCTGCCTTTTCTCGCAGACGAAGCATCTTCTGCAGCACAGAACACGCAACCAGAATCTCCTTCCCACATACGAAGGAAATCAGAAAGGAAGAAGTACAAAATCATGTGTGTCCAAAGAGAGAGTGAGACCACGTGAGTTCAAGACCCAGTGTCCTGGGGGGCGGGGGGAGGGGGGTTAGTGAAACACAGGAGGAGCCTTCCGGATCAACCTCTGCCTTCTCCCTTCTTTCTGGCTGACAGAGGAAGGGGCCACCCACCCCTCACATTTCTAGACACCTGCTGAAGAATGGCTATGTAAGGGAGCATCATGGATATTTGTGACGGCTTTATTCACTCCCGTGAAGATGGGGTAGGAGTGAGGAGGCTAATGAAGAATAATATTTTGATATTCAAGAGTGGATGCTTCACCACACAGACACTTGCCTCAGCAGCAGAAGCCAGGGAAGAAACACACACACACATCAATTTTGCAACAACTTATACACAATCAGTTAATTCCCACGTCCCCCTCCTGCAGCAGAATAGAGGAACAGACACAACAGAAAGCCACGATTGGCTGCTGTGAACTTGCTGGCTTAGAGACAGGGGATAGAATGTGACTATCTCGATCATTGTACCGTGTGTGTTCTTCGGAATCCAACCCCGCTCTCTGCCACAGGGTGGAGGACAGCAGAAGGGAGCCTCCACAACTGGCATGGGATTCCCCTCTGTATGCTGTGAATACCATTGGTTAATAAAGGACTGCTTTGGGCTTGTGCAGGGCAGAATATAGGTAGGCAGGGGGAAAACTAAGCTGAATGCTGGGAGAAAGGAAGGCAGAGTCAGGAGAACCATGGAGCCGCCTGAGATAGAAGCGCTGAAACTTTGCTGGTAGGCCACAACCTCGTGGTGATACACAAATTAATGGAGGTGGGTTAAATTAATATATAAGAGATAGCCAATAAGAAGCTAGAGCTAATGGGACAAGCAGTGATTTAAATAACATGGTTTCTGTGTGATTATGTCGGAGTTAAGTGGCCGGGAACAAACTAATAGCGTTTTTACTACACACAACCTGAATAAGGAACAGGTAGAATCCAGAGAAGAAGCTAAGTGGACCTTGCCTCACAAAGACAGCATCTGGCAGACACCAAGCACACGAGAGGACCCAGAATGCAAAAGTCCAGCTGGGACAACCAAGGACTATGCCAACCGCCAGAGGTTGAGCTGTGTGTCCCTCACCCATGGGCACAGCAATTTGGCATAGGGATCCAGGCTGCAGGCTCTGGGCCCTCTGTGAGTTGACTCAAGAATTTTAGCACGGTGATGGTAAAGACATTAAAAACAGTAAAAGTCGAAAACTTTCTGCAAAGAAGCCACAAGATCCAAATGGAAAGTTAGGCTCAGTGATTCTCCCGAGTGTGGTTTCACTTCTTGCAGTTCCAAGGTGAGCAGCCACTGCTTTCCCGCTATAGCTCAGGGGTCAGGGAGGGTGTGCGCATGCCCAGCGGAACCATGAGCAAGAGGTACAGTGCTCATTCTGTAACTGACAATGATGACAGCACTCATCAGGGTGGGAACTAAGGCATTAGTTAGGAAAGGCCTTATCCATGCCATGCTGGGTCAGGCCAGGGGCCCAGAAATTTCCTGAGAAACACCCACACTCCTTTGAAAACACCTGTACTTATTTTTCTGCCTCCCTTGGCAATCTGACCTCACCTTCGAGTATCTCCAGAGTCCTGATTCTTGCTCATCCCCTGTGTGGGACATGTTATTTTCTGACCGCTTCTTTCCAATTCTACTTTCCCAAGGCTGTGGATTGCCTGAGGACCAAGGGCTCCAAGCTCCCCTATCTACCAAACTACACACACACACACACACACTGCAGACTGCCCCCAGGGTTGGTGCACAGCACTGGTTTGCAATGCTGGCATCTTGGGCACCAGGACATCAGATGGAGGACACTGTTAAAAGCCAATGGAACTGTGCAACA